ATCAGAAGGAGGATTATACACGGCAGCGGTTGTTTACTTAACAACCCAGGCTGGAAGCATGCCCAAACAATGCTTGCATTCGGGCTATGTCCAAACAGTGCTCGCACTTGTGTTGAGCCCAAACAGCGTGTCCCCAAACAGTGCTTGCACGTCGGCCTTCTGCCCAAGCAGTGCTTGCACTTTGGTTGTGCCCAAACAGCGTTTCCCCAAACAGTGCTTGCACGCGTGCAGACCAATACACGTCCATTGATATTCCCCCTTTCCCCATTGTTTTCAAACCCAGTGTGGCACATTCTATGGTATGTGATGATGACAACAACCCCCATGACACACGTACAGCTTTCTAACACAAATGGTCATCCGAATAGGTTCGAGAACAGGGTGTGTCAACGCACACGCAAATCTAACACCACCTGTGGGCGGCGTACGGCTTTTAAAAGGAGAAGAAACGCCATGACGGCAACGCAACATGCATGCGATGGGGCAGCACGCGCGATGAGGTCATGGTGCCTGTCCCTCGGACTTCGGCGGGTCCACATTGCACGTGGCAGTGGATGGAGGCCCCGAACATAAGGGCGTGTCCCTCCTCCTCATCGTCCTATTCCTCGTCCTCCTCCTCCTCCTCCTCATCCTCTTTCTCCTCCTCCTCCTCCTTATCCTCCTCCTCCTCATCCGTATCCTTATTATCCTCCTCCACCTCCTCCTGCTCAGCGTCCCCACCTCCTCCTCCCAACTATCTCCTGAGAATGGACGGCATGCTTCCTCACTCTCGGCTCAGTCAGTGGCTTCGCTTGACGCCGCGCACATTCGCAGATACTATGTGTCGTTTACTGGCCTCGGAGGAGGAGGAGGAGGAGGGGGAGGAGGAGGAGGAGGAGGAGGAGGAGGAGGAGGAGGAGGACGAGGAGGAGGAGGAGGAGGAAAATGAGGAGGAGGCGGGGGAGGAGGAGGAGGAGGCGGAAGAGGAGGAGGAGGAGGAGAAGGAGGTGGAGGAGGAGGAGGAGGAGGAGGAGGAGGAGGGGTGAGCAGGAGGAGGAGGAGGGGAGGGGGAGGGGGAGGGGGAGGGTTCATTTTATGTTGGTTTTATGTTCGAACGGTTTTTTTCTGGAAACTTGTTTTTTTATATGTACAACATCGAGCAATGCGTCGGGCACGATGTTGCTTCTTCCACGACGGTGCGACCAGCTGTGGTGCGCACTCGGCGCGCGTGAGCGCAACACTTCGAATGGCCGCCACTCGCGCATCCACGCCTTGCCCGCACGCCGCGCGCTATGGGGCGGCCAGGGCGGGACAGGGGCTGGGCAAGGGCGACGAGGGAATGATATGGGGGGCGGCAAATAGCGCCCCTGTCCCGCCCTGGCCGCCCCATAGCGCGCGGCGCGCGGGCAAGGCATGGATGCGCGAGTGGTGGCCATTCGAAGCTTTGCGCTCACGCGCACCGAGTGCGCACCGCAGCTGGTCGCACCATCGTGGAAGAAGCAACGTCGTGCCAGACGCAGTGCTCGATGCACATATAAAAAACGATTTTCCAGAAAAAAACCGTTCGAAAATAAAACCAAAATAACATGAAAATTCAAAGATTTTCAGGATCCCAGGGCTTAGTGGTATAGAAAGATCTCAACTCTGCGAGGTCAACTGCCCTCGCGCTCATGTGCTCTGCGCCCTCGCGCCAGCCACCATGCGACCGAAGCTCCGCTCTGGCCCAGACTGCGAAACGCGATTGAATTCGTTTCGCGTCCCCACCGCTGGATTAGGACGACTACAGCCTTAAGCCGGGCGTGCCCCCTACAAGCGGATTTGGGAGGACAAATGATACATTATATATATTCAAAACTGGTCAAAAATACCTAACTGTCGTCCCCCGATTTTTATTATGTTTGAATCATCCTGTAGAGGGACGTGCCCGGCCTAACAAGAACGTCATGATGCAAGTGGCTTCGGATGCAGAATGCGTTTGAGGAGTTCTGGAAGCTTCAGCGACCCTCGGCCGGCCGAGCTCGACCATGCTCCTATGTCCGCGCGGGACAAGAGGACCATGTGGAAATTCTGGGACGAGTCGCTAACATCATCCCTTGCCCTTCAAAAGCCAATGTGGATACGCAACGATCACTGCCCCTGATAGACCAGGATCGGGTGTGCACGAGCAGGTGCCCGGCTCCTGCCCTCGATCAGCTGGTACACGCTGAAAGCCACCATCGTGACACCGAGGAGAAGCCGCAGCCAGGCGGTGTCCACCTCCCTCCTCCCCTCCCTCCTCCCCTCCCTCCTCCCCTCCCTCCTCCCCTCCCCCTCGTCCCCCCGATCCGCCTGCTCACCACCTCCCTCTTCCCGCTCCTCTCTCCCTATCTGGGCAACCCACAAAAGACGTACGCGCCCAACCGTGTACGCGAACACGGCCCCCCAATCCGCGAGGCCCGCCTCGTGTTACGCATGTTCGCGCAATGCATGCTCTCGAAGACCACGAACAGTCAGCCATATACACGCATCTGGGGGAAACCAT